ACGGCCAGCAAGGCTCTTGTCCAGGGCAGCGCTGAATGCGACATCTGGGATACAGACACAGGATAATGCCTGCTAAACACAACAAGCCTCGAGGCAAAGCGGGTTCCAGTCTGCGGGTTTTGGAAGGGGCAAACCAGCTCCTGTTCCCGAACAGGCCTCCCAGAAAGAAATGGAGAGTAGTGCCGCACATTCCCAGGACACTGGGAGCACATATGGAAACCAGTAAACAAAAAAAGCCAGGCAGCTGGATTTTCAGGTCTGGCCACATGTTTGCTCCAGATTCCTGGGCTCCCTTTGTCTCTGTGGATAACAGGATCCGGTCCTGGCAGGCCAGAAACCCACCGCGCAGGTGTGTCCTTTGCACATCCAACAGGAAACCCAGCCTGGCACAGAAAGTGAAACAGTTCCTGGCCTTTGATGAGTCCAGTTAAATATGGAACTAGTGAAAAACATGAACAGATCAAAGTAGAGCTCGCAGCCTGTTATTAAATTAAGCTGAGAAGACGCAAGCTTGGAATAACTCCACACCATCGGATAATCCTGTGTAATGGGGACAGGTCCCCATGGCCCCACAGGGCCTCCAGCCGCCCGCACGCTCCAGACAGGCTCAGGCCGCTGCGCTGCGCTGCCCGGGGGGCTGCACCCCCAGCCCCGTTCCAGGAGCTCCCCAGCCTGGGTCTGCCCTCGGCCCTGGGGACGGCGCCCGGCCCCAGCTCCCAGGCAGCCCCTCAGAGCGGGTGCGTTGCAGGTGCTGGGTCACCAGCAGTGCAAAGAACACATTTATAGCATAAAGCATCGTGTGATAATCTTTTCTTTTTGGATGACGAGGCTGAAAGCTTATTAAAGCTATTATAACAGAGGTTACAGGTGTAACAGGGAGCCATTATTGTGTTTACGCTGTTGCAGCACTGTGTATAATTTAGTTTTCAAACTTTAATCATTTGGCTGCTAGGACAAACAGATTAGCATGATGATGTTTTCCAGAGGAAGACGCTGATGATGTAGTTTACAGGGCTTGATGGTTTGCTCGTGTCTCTGGGATTCCCCTGGGATAAGAGGATTTGATGGATCACCGAATGCATTACAGAATCTATCTCGCTTCACCTCACTGAGTTTTGTCCCTTCTGAATTTATCTTGCCTTGTTTCTTCCCTGCTGCTTTATCTCCGTCCTGAAAACAGGGAGGAGGAGGCCAGAAAAGCCATCTCTCTTCCTGCTCACTTGCAGTGCCAGCGTGAGCAGAGTGTAGAGATCCCAGCCCCTGGCCAGCGAGAAACACCTCCGGTGACAGCAGAGGCGAGGCCCAGACTTAACTGCAGAGCGCAAACTGATAAATTATCCCGGACCGATAAGACGATGCCCTGAGCCAGCAAAAGTTGAGGAAGTGGTGGCGGCACTGGGGAGCGGCATCAGGAAAGGGTTAGGTCAGGGAGAGCATGGGGCAAGGACGTGGCTGATGTTCACAGAGCAGAGGTGAGGTGGGCGCAGCGGGGCCGAGGTCATAGAGGAGAAATCAATGGCATTGGAGTCTGGGGTGAGCAGATTTAATATATATCAGAGCGCCCTGTTCACACACAGCCCCTTAGTGAACGGCTTGGACCTGGATCGGAAAATATGACAAAGCCAGTGGGATGGTGGATGGACAGAGATACCCTGTGGCCACATCCCCTCTGCGGTGCCTCCGCGGGGCTCAGACCAGCTCACCCGCTCTGAGATCAGCAGAAGCACACTTTTGGAGGGGTACGGTCCCTTTAAAAAACGTGAATTTGTCCAGAAACAATTATGCAGCATAATCACAGAAAAATCAGCAGGGTGAATTTGGAACTAATAAAGATTTAATCTCTAAGTCATGAGACTGCATTTGTTGGGAAAATATACATACCCCTGAGAATCCAGCTACAGTTGCTATATTACACACCGTTCAGCAGCTCACTGGGCATCTTTCCAAATCCGTTTATTTTTAACATCAGTCACATTATTCAATTAATTATAAAAACACTGAGGTTTTCAAGAAATGTTTCTGATAAAACTGTAGAGTAAATATGCGTGAGAACAGCAAGGATTAAAATCTCTGTAAACTTTAGCTTTTGGGGCTGTTGCTATAAACAAGAGAAGTCCTCCAAGGAGGTTATGTGTCAGAGTGAATCATACCAGATAACACATGGCCTCCTCCCACACCACAAACAGAGAGATCAGTTGTCCTTTACCTAGTGATGGAAGCGAAAGATCGACATGTCTGTCAGCGGTATGCTCAGGGAATGAGAATTGTGAGGGACTGGTCTGGATTCTTCAGATGCTTCCAGCATTTGAGCATCCCAGTTTGGCAAATATGAAGCATTTAGAAGGCTGAGCTCTTTCCCAATAAGCTGCGAAACAGAAAGCAAAAAAACCCAGCCCATGTCTAGCAGTGTCTTGAGGCCTTGAAAACACCAGATATCCACTGATGGAACGATTCAAGCCCTACCTTTAAAAGGTTAAAAGCCTCCGCAAACCCTGCTGTATGGGAAGACTGGTATCTCCTGCAGTGGTTTCACTGTACCAATATGAAATGTTTTCCCAGCCCAAAGTCTGCGTATCTGCTTAACCTGGTAAGCAAGAATCACAACAATGCCTTTGGCTTAATCCAGTTTTTAACTTTTCTCCAAGTACGTTGCCATGTACTTTTCCTAGCAGATTTTTTTTTTAAAAGACTCACATTGTGGTTGAATTATTTGATAGCTCTGGTATTTTCTTCAAAGATGGCACAGACTAAAGGCAAACAGTCTGGGCATCCAAGCCTGGCAAAGAGAGAACTCCCAGGCTTTCATCCAAGCTTTGCCAGACATGCAAATCAGCCTTGGGAAAAGTCCCTCCCATATAAACCTCAACTTCTCTGCAACAGAGGTTCTTAGGCACATCCCCAGCTTGAGAAAATAGGCAAATCATGTTGGTGATTGCAGACTCCTTCAGGACAAGGAGAGACATTTTGTTCTGCTTGCCCTGAAACGATGGAATCCTGCCTAACCAGAGATGCCAGCAACAGGACACGGCAGCAGCGCCTAACAACGGGGAGCCATTTTGATGAAGAGATGGCTTTAACGGGTTGCCACATCTCACGCATGCAGGGTGAGGAACCAGCTCCCAGCCCCACGTCGCGCTGCCTGCGGGGCTGTGCGGTGCCAAGGCCTCCAGCCCAGGGGCTGCCCGTCAGGCCGGCCCGAGGAGTGG